GGACGTCACAGGAAAGCTTCTCATACACAATTGCCTTTATCATTTTAAAATCTTGGCCCTGGCCTCAGAAGTAACATTTCGAAAATTTCGTTAGCTTCCTCTAAAGCTTGATTTACTTCCGGAACAATCAGGACGACGGTAATCAAATCTTCATCATTAGAAAATGTAACGGGTCTGCACTACACTCCTTCTCACGGGCTTTACAATCTTGAAGCTCTGATGTAATTTAAATTGTATGGCTCAACGCGTTTTTTCTTTAATGGTTTCTCCTGCGATAAACTTTTGAAAGAGACATGCCTCTCTTTTTATCGCAGGAGTTAAAGTCATTTCTTCAGTTGGATTAGAAACAGCGAGGTAGACGTCAGAATTGTTAAACGGAGGGTTTCCTGATATAGTAATGAGGGAGGGTTGTCAATGAATCTCGCTCGAAATTTGGTTCTATAGAATGATGCCGAGAATACCATGGACTGAACATGCGTGTAACTAAGAAGTATAATTTAAGTATAATTTTTGTAACATCGGGAAGAATAGAATAATCACACTAAGGTTGGTAATGAACGATAATGCTTAGGACAAGATATGCGGGATACCTACCATTCGCCCCACGCGGTCAGATTTAGCACAAGGCCGAATTTAATGTGGGGTATCCGAGCCCATAGGCTCGGCCAAAAATTCCCCGTAAACCCCGTATAAAACGGGGTCGGGTAGGTGTTGACAGAGCCTCGGTTGGAGACCCTCTTCGCCCGAAGGCAGAGAGTTTGACCAGCACAGCTGGGGACGAATCTCCAACTGCAGAATATCTACCAACCGCACCACGCGGTCAGATATAGCACAAGGCCGAATTTAATGTGGCGTATCCGAGCTAGTAGACTCGGCCAAAAGTTTCCCTTAGACCCCATATAAAACGGGGTCGAGTAGCTGTTTCCCGAGATGAGACTCTGTCCTTCGACATAGCCTCGTCTAGGGATCCTCACTGCCCGGAGGCAGAGAGTTTGACCAGCACAGCTAAAGACGAATCTCCAACTGCAGAGCAACATACAGTATTTACTACTGTATTTATATTAATCGGGAAATAACCATTATCGTCCGTAGGAATGCTACAACAATAACGGAAACAATATAAGATGCTTATACTTAGTATCAGAGAAAGATAGTTGACATTTCTAGGACACGTAATGAGGAAAGAAAGATCGGAAACTTTGATACTGACGGCGTGTAATTAATGCAAGAAAGACAGAGAGTAGCTTATATAACCAGCATGTGTAAATGGTTGGTAGAACAGTAAGGATAGTGAAAAGATAAAACTTATTAAGAGCTTCAAAGAAAAGGAAGTAATGGAGAGCCATGATCGCCTACGTCCTGAATGGAAATGGCACATAGAGCACGAAAATGCAGATAATGATGTATTAGTTGGTTCCACTAGATTGCCTTTTGCTGGTGTTTATGTCGGAGCAATAGATACTGTCGATGTGGAAAAAGACACAGTAATGAAATGTAGTATAGTCCCTGAATGCTGGGACGTCTTCGGTGGCAGTGTCGATTCATTCATATTGCTGCTATCTTCTCTCGTTTTCTTCCAGCCGGTGATCGCTATTCGGTTTTGGTTCGGCAGTAAAAAGACATCAACAAAAGGGAATTTTAATCTTAACGACACATCAACGTGTACCTTTCTTATTAATCAGGTCAACGTGGACCTTTCTACCTATCCAGTGGGGTTGCTCTCTCCGTAATGGGGAGCAGACCCAGACACGAAAAAGGAACAAGTCTACATTGTTTGACGGTTTAGAATCGACTCACTGGAGAAACCTTTCTCTATCTATCATTCCCACGCTAATTAAGCCAATCAAAATCGACTTCCTTTATTTTGTCTTGTATCTGCTCCCTGAGGTTAAACTGAGGAAGTCAGTGTAGCGATAATACTTCTCTAATAAAAATGGTCTGCTAAACTGTTATTTCACAGGAAGAGACAGTAACTCCCGCTAGCCTTTAATTTTATTCAATCAGCTTTTCGGAAAGATTAACGGCATCTTTTTTTTTCATGCTGCAGATTAGTAGAGCCACCGAAACCTTTAAATCTATCTGCATAAAACACTGTAGTTTCATTTTTGGTGGTTTGTGTCATCGAGATGCGTGCTCAAGTAACCGCAATTTGAACTTCTCTTCTGCTCTTTCTTACCACCTGAAAGTCCAGGGTATGACGATAAACTACATCCGACAGCAAGGTCTCTTATCGGGAGACTGGTGGTTTTGAGGAGCGTGGAACAAACTCTTAATTGATTGCTGTTGTTCCTGGTCTAACCTTTTAGGGTCGCATCTATGGGTAAATAGTGAACACCACGAACAAAAACACTATTAAAGTATAAAAATAGATTTTAATAGTAAAAATAGCAGCGACACACACACACACACACACACACACACACACACACACACACACACACACACACACACACACACACACACACACATATATATATATATATATATATATAGTTTTAAAAACAAGGAATGTATTGATTTTAATTTTATTAGTCTCTAAGTCCCTTTCAACCAACATCTCATCAGGAGACAATCGTTGGATAATTAATCAACGAAAAGAATATTAACCACAATGAAGAGCAAAAAAGGGGGGAAACACACTAAAATAACAAACAAGTATATATACTTGTAACGAGGGGAGGGGAAATAATCGTGTAAATAAAATTAGCGAGGGACAGTTAAAATAAAATATCACCCATCAGATTAAGAGACTTTACAAATTCTTTCTGTCCACAGAGAGAATGTTTCCTTAATCCTATGCATACCGATTCCAAAATCTTCAAATGATTGTTGGAATCGGCTGTATGAATAATTTTAAACCACTCTTTTTATACGACTTGGCGCAGGCTATATTCTCAACTAAATGTTGAGCAATAGCCGATTCCATATTCATGGGGGCAAGATAGCATATTTTATCTATCTTACCAAGTCGTATTTTGGAAAGTACATGCTGATTGATTCTAGTTTCCAAATGCAAGGTTGTACGCTCCACATAACCAGCAGCACACTGGCAATTAAACTCATATACTAAATTACTCAATTTGATGTAGGGCAATACATCCTTGCGAAACGAAAGAAACACAGAGCCTTAGAGGCTAATAAAATTAAAATCAATACATTCTTTGTTTTTAAAACTATAATAAATTTTGTACCTCTAAACATTTGTTTACATATATATATATATATATATATATATATATATATATATATATATATATATATTACATGAATCATTCATACAAAAACAAATAATGATGTTAATGATTTAAATGGCGAGAATACATCTTCGCAAACAATTTCAATAAGATACACTAACCCCGAAACTGTATATGAATGATATGATCCCTATTTATAAATTCAAGTTTCATAAGGTCTTTTTTATTTTTTACAAGCTTTTCTCTGTTCCTACAGACATCCTCAGCTATGGAAATAGATTTGTTCTTGTGTTTTACTTCTCGGTAATAAGAGGACAACGGAAATAGAGATGTAATCCGAAAAAATGCTATGAGAAATGTGTTATACATTCTATCTGTAGTTGAATTCATACAATTGCGTTCAAAATATATCATGATGAAGACATAATGAAGACATAAAATTGTGTTCAAAATATTTCGATTTCGACATTAAATAACCCATAGTGGTGTTGATATGCCGTTAAATAAAATCAACCAACCATCTTACATGAATGAACTTTCATGACAATAATCAATATAATGTTCTACAATTTCTTAAATCAAACTGTATTCCAAAATTTAACTTCAACAAAACTACTACGTAAAACACGTATGTCACTGCCTCTAATAATTACGTCCACACAAATGTGTATATGCGCAAAAGCTGTGTATTATCTACCATGTATTCCAATGTGAACGTAGAATGACATATTTTATTCAAATCTCCCAAGAAATTTAAACTTCAGCATTTAATTAGCCATAATGAGTTGATATTCCGTTAAGCAAATCAACTAACCAACCTGCCACTTGAAATACTTCCTCTAAATTACCGATTTTACAATAAACCTTCCTTTAGCGTGAACATATCCACAAGTAGACACTTTTGACTACGCCTGCGCATTTTATTTCGACCAGAAGTTGCCGTAGAAAATATTATTGTATATTCTTTAACTGCGGAATGAACGGAAAGAGATGGCGCAGTTTGGGAAGTGATTTTACAAGGACTTTCTCCCTTGGAGAAGCTCCGAGGAGGTAAGTTTGTTACCCTCAGAACCAGCCTATTATTCATCTTCTGGAGATGACGACGAGCAGCTTCCGGTCATCGATATCAAATAGTTGAGAATGCACTTGAAAGGTTTCTGAGTAGATCTTCTGCTCGAAAACTTGCGAGGGATTCACAATTACAATTTACGAGAACTGAAGCAAATATCAAACCAAAAATAGTTCCCGGTACGTAGCTAGGAATCACTATATAATTAAACATTTCGCAATCTTCTGTAGGGAATCTTGTTTTATATGAGAAATGCCTTGTCTTTTACGGTCTTTTGGAGCTTCAAACTCAAACTTGATAGTAATTTTGGCACAGGTTTTTGACTTTCTGTCAACCACAAACATAGACGTATTTGTTTCGATGGAACTCAATTCTGGTAACCCATCTTCTTTTATTAGCTGTATACGTGTTCTTTTTTTACCTGTTGGATGAACCTCCGTGATTTCATTAATCATGAGACACGTTATTCCACGTGTTAGGAGAGAGAACTCTACATGTTTGCTGGTTCCTCGTTTATTTTGCTCAACAGTTTAGGCGGAGTTATTTTTTCCTCATTTGTTTTTTTTTCTTTTTTGTTTTTCCTTTTCTTCTTCTTTTTCTTCTTGTTTTATTTTTTCATATCCAATTTTTTCAGAAGATTCCAAATAAGACCTTTGCGCTATTGCTGACCTCCTTGCCGACCATTTTTATGAGGAAGGAGCACCTAGAGAATTTGACACTCAAAGGACGTATCGGATTACGGCCACATCACGTTGAAACATAGGATCTCGTACGGTCAACGTGGTTAAGCAACGTCGAGTCAGGTCAGTATTTTGATGGGTGACTGCTTGGGAATACCAAGTGTTGTAAGCTTGGATGTGCGGGCGGTTTGGCTTACTGTTATATCACGTTGAAACATAGGATCTCGTACGGTCACCGAAGTTAAGCAACGTCGATGCAGTTCAGTATTTTTGATGGGTGACAGGTTAGGAATACCAAGTGCTGTAAGCTTGGATGTGCGGGCGGTTTGGCTTACGGTTATATCACGTTGAAACATAGGATCTCGTCCGGTCAACGGTCGAGTCAGTTCAGTATTTTTGATGGGTAACAGCTTGTAAGCTTGTAGTGCTGTAAGCTAGGATGTGCGAGGGATGAAATAGATAACAGGTCCGAACTAAAAATTGGAGGGTAAAGTTACAATGCTAGTCTGGTATGTTATATTTAATTATGGGCAAATAACTTTGGGAAAGGCAGGAATCAAGCTGTTCTCTTCTAAGCTATGGGTTAAATAGTAGGACTTGTATCATAAATCATTATTAACTCCAAAAAAATCTTACGACTTAAAAATATTTATTGGCTTGAACTAACCTTTAAAAGGGTGATAAGCCGTGAAAATCAATCACAGGACGTATCAAAAGTAAAAATAGTCATGGTGTTGGCAACAAGACTGCTCACCTGACCAGCGTTTTTTAAAGGTTAAAGGAGCGTGAGTGAGATGGATGGTAAAAAGAAAAAGCTTAAGAGCTACAAAAGATGGGAAATTGTGGAGTGTCGTGAACGTCCAGGTGCTGAATGGACACAGTACATAGAAGAAGAACAAAAATGGGGAAAAAAGATGCACGTCTGGGTCAGTTTGGCCAAAAACAGTCATTTGTTGTCCTGTTCTGAAAAAAAAAAGAAAGAAAAGAAAATTGATGAAAAAAAGAAAGCGTAAAACAGTTCAAATGGTCAGGTGACGAACAAACAAAACTAAAATATAATGGAAATTAATATTTTCATTTAAAATTTAAAAAAAAAAAAAAAAAAACACGTCACAAGACCGATAAATGTGGGTGGGGATGCATTGGTCTTCATTAACTTAACTAATAGTACTTAGTTACTAAACCATTTACAATTTCTTTTACTATAACATCGCATTTATTCTGAATCATTCATACCGTAATCATGAAAGAGATCACATTTTGTAATGAAAGTCATCTTGATAATTATCTTGGTGGGTTGGGGTTTAAAAGATTGATATATTACGCAGCTAAATTTTCTTGATGATTTTTATTACATTAAAATAGATTTAAAATAATACGTTTCTATGTTTCCTCACCCCGTGGTAATTAAATCGCTATACAAAAATGAAATGGTGTGAAAAAAAGTAACAAAATAAAAGATAAATGAATTAAAAGAAAACAATTACCGTATTTGACGGCATATAAGACGCACGGGTGTACAGGACACACCCTAATTTCTGCAGGGAAAATCAAGAAAATATTAGTTATTAGTGAAATTTGTAAATCTACATATGGCATATAGGACTCAGGGGAATTTTAAAAGATATTTTCAGTAAAAAAAAAAGTGCGCCTTATACGCTGTCAAATACGATAATTGAAAAATAGAATAAATTTGCAATAATCCGTAGGTATCTTTCTCGACCCAAATTGAAAATCTAAAGATAAATGTATTAAAAGAAAACAATTACCGTGTTTGACGGCATATAAAACGCCCAGGTGTATAAGACGCACCCCAATTTCAGCAGGGCAAATCAAGAAAAATTAGTTATTAGTAAAATTAGTAAACCTACATATTAGCATAAAAGGAATTTTAAAAGATATTTTTAGTGAAAAAGTGCTCCTTATATGCCGTCAAATACGGTAATTAAGAAAAAGAATAAATTTACTTTAATCAGTTAGTATCTTTGTACGCACTATGGTAATCTAATAAAAAAATAGATAAGAAAATTGGTGCCACTTTAGGATGTGTCCTACCGATAAGTGTATCCTATCACCACATTTATAACGTACATTAGTAAAGTATGGTGGCTGTTAAATAATTAAGTATAACTCAAGACTTCAATGTTAAGATAAAACAGTATTCAATTACAGCCGCAAATAAATACTTAACAAGAACAAAGAAGTAAAAGTCAACCAAAGATAATTAATCATTTCAGTGAATATCTTGTTAGTATGGCGGCTCGGTTTAAAATCCGGTAAATCCTAAATCAAAACCCAAAACATCAGCACACAATGACTCACACTAATTCGACTGGATAGTTCCACTCAATAGTCACCTAATAATCACACCAGTCAGTAGCCTGACACCACTATTTATACACCTGGCGGAAAACGTATATTCATAAGTCCAAGTGTCACGCTCGAAACTCGGTGTCTGTAGTTACTCATTTTCTTACTATCTGACAATTAGTTGACGTAAGGGGGAAAGCAAGAAAGGAAGGTGGGATGCAATTTATTGTTATAAAATTAAACAAAAAAAATAAGGAATTTGATTAACAAATTATAAAACAAGATATTTGAATCTTTTAAATAAAAACATTCTGAATGTCTTTTAACATATCGAATAAAAGATCGGTACAATGCCTTAATCATGAAGGACACTAATGTGGTGGTAGGATGCACACAAAAGCAGAAACTGATTGGGAGAAATAAACAATTTAAAAACATGCAATGAAACGACAAATTGTAAAAAAAAATGATGAAATGAAAAATAATAATAATAAAAAAACTAGTGTAATGCTTTAGTATCTGTGTCCACCCTATGGGGCGTTGATCATAGAGAATGGTCTGAGAAAATGAAAAAAAAAAAAACAGAACGGTGAAGATGTTAAATAAAAGTTTAGCAGACCATTATTTTTGGAGAAGTGTATCGCTGCTTCGACTTCTTGAGGTTGACTATTGAGATCAGATACAAGACAAAACAAGGGAAGTCAATTTTGATTGGCTGAGCCAGCATGAGAACGATAGATATAAATAAGTTTTCAGGGATTTTTTTCTTAATGTAAACGTGTTGACTTTCATGTCTGAAACGGCTCCCCATTGGAGGGAGACCAACCCCACTGGCTTGTTAGATGTATACGTCGACGTTAATAAACTAGTTAAGTTTAAATTTCCCCTTCTTGATGTCATTTATCTGTGACCAAAAACAATTGACGATCACCGGCCGAGAGAAAACGGGAAATGAGAGAGAACAACAACATATGAGTGAATGGATGTCGTCGCCCAAGACCACCACCACCACCAAGGGGCAATACAATATTGGATTAATTCAGCAGTGATCAAGTGCTTCCCAGAACCAGGGGGCTATACAACATAGGGAAATGAATACATACAAGAAAAATGGCTTATATTAATGCGTTAGTATGTGTCCTAGCCCTATCGTAATTTAACCCTAAAAATGTGGGAAAATGTAAAACATCAAGGGAAAGATTAAAGAAAACTGAAGAAGAATTAAAAGAAAAGAATTAATTAAGAAATATATTGTTATAATTCTGCTTTTCCGTTTAGATCGCATGGAAAAACGGAAAAAGACATATCAGAGATGCCACTTGGTTTCAATGAGAAAAAAGAAAGAAAGCAGTTTTTAACATCTCTTGTCAATACAGCATAAATAATGGGCTATTCCGTTTTGCCCGCGTTGAAAAACAAATCAGAGACTGGACTGCTTTCAGTGAGAAAATGAAAGGCAAAAATAAAGGAACAAAGAAATAAAGAAAGCGAGTAGGGAGGAAAGAAGTGTATAACGTCTTCTTTTAATATCACATAAATAATTGACTATTCCGAGTTGATCGCGTGGAAAGCCGGAAAATACATATCAGAAACGTTATATGGTTAGGTGAGAAAATGAAAGAAAGAAAGAAAGAAAGAAAGAAAGAAAGAAAGAAAGAAAAAAGAAAGAAAGCAAGCAAGAAAGAAAGAAAGAAAGAAAGAGAGAAAGAAAGAAAAAATACGAAAGAAAGGAAGAAAGTAGAAATGTTAACGTCTGCTTCAGTGAAATGGAAAATTATGTCAATTTCTAATCCTTTAATTTGTACACCCTTAATTCTTAACACAAAAAAAATGAGAGAGTTTAGTTTTTAAGACGTTAAATTTAACAAGCCATCTTTTGCCCCAGTTAACAACAGACTGAAGATCGTTTTCGACATCGCCTCCCATTTTGACCTAATCGAACTGATCTGACTTCCTACTAAGACAGGAGTAAATAGTTGTGTTGTCAGTGTAGATAGCAAGTTGAGAGCTGATATCATCAGGAAGGTTATTAATGAAAATTAAACACATCCTCATTTGTACGAAAGACTCTAGACGAATGACCGTTAAGGATAACTTTCATTGTAAGAACTTTATGTGATATCAATCCTTTCATATGACAGTAAATGCTGGAAAATCTCCTTATAGATGAAAACAGAATTGGAGGAAACAGAAATGTAGTTCTACAGAAGGATGCTGAGAATATCACAAATAGAACGCGTAAGAAAATTAAATAAAATAGAAACAAAAAGGACACTTGAGTTTAGAATCAGAATAGATTGGTAAAATTTCTTATATACAAAATGAGGAAGAAGGGCTTGGAGAATTTGACACTCACAGGGCGTATTGAAGCCCAAAAGGATAGAGGATGATAGCGGGACCTCTAACTGACGAGCTTTTGTGAATGGATGGCGGAAATGGAATTGTTAAGAGATAGAAAAGATAGGAGATTGTGGAGAGCCAGGATCACCTACATCCTGAAGGGAAACTTTATAGAGAAAAATACATAGAGTCCCTGAAGAAAATCGCAGTAGGTGAACACATTCATTGTGGAAATAACAAATATCTTTCTGTCTTGGGTAAGACGTTAAACTACATCCACGTCCTGGGTAAGACGATAAACTACGTCCAGCGGCAAGGTCTCTGATCAGGAGGTTTTGAGGAGCTTGGAACCACCTCTTATTTGCTGGTGTTCCCAGGTCCACCCTGACCCGGTGTGGTAGCACCTGTTAGGGTCCCAGCTATGGGAAAATAGTTAACTATTACCGGCAATACGTTTTTGAAAAAAAAATATTATCGGCAATAAAATTTTGAAGGAAAAATATTGCCAGAAACAGATTTT